AACTCGATAACTAGATGGATCTGTCGACGCTGTCATAGTTTCGGTCCACAATAGGCCCTCGGTGGTTGCTTTTCCATCGCCATGGGCCCTTATCCAGGTTCCTGCTGGTTGCCAATAAAACCCCATAATACCGTACCGAATACACTCAAGGTACTGCTGCAGCAGTTCGCGACTCCCGCAGTGATTCTGCTAGCTGCATAACATCTGAATATGCAACCAAAGGCTCCGACGCCTCCCACTCGGACCATCGTTCCTCGCTTCTTCCGAGTTTTGGTTGCCGATTTGTCGTTCTTTTCGCTGTCCAGATTCTGGGGGCAGTTGATCTTGCCCGCTCGGAAAAAGAAGCTTCAGAGCCAACGCAGCGTATCCGTTCGAACGGGCCCAGCATTCTCAATCAATAAAAGAAATCATTTAACGGAGCGCGGTGCCTGATTTATATTAGTCAATGTCCATTCCTGTAGGGATGAAACTGGCTCGATATTCTGCGTATGTTTGACGCGCCAGGTCTTTAAAGAAAGAGTGCATCAATTCAGAATACTAAAGATAGAGAGAGAGAAGAGAGAGAGAGCAAGATCTGGAATCAGCCATGGGAGCTAATATACCAATGATCTATGCAAACAATGCAAACTCTTCATCTCTCGCTTATTTAAAAAGACTACCGAAGGAGACCACTAAAAAGACATATGAAAAGACATATAGAAAGACCATCGGAGAAGACTACCTAAGAAGACCACCAGACTACGGCCGTATAAGCGGCCGATTATGGTTGTCTATAATATCTCAATTTCTACAATATCAACTTCTATAGTGTCATTTTCTACACTATTAATTTCTATCAATTTCTATGTCAATAAAATACACATATATATACTACATATGTACTTTTACGAAATGTTCTGCTGGCGGCCCACTGACTGACGGCTATACACTGCCGTACTGTCACCGTACCAGTGGAAATCATACTCCGCTATTTCAACTTCTTAACTCCTCAACTTTGCACCACTTGCCGCCTGATAACTCATTGCAAAGTAGAGACTATGCACTTCACAGGATTTATCTCCAGTCACGAAAACTCAATAGGTTTCCCATAGCACCTTTTCGCAAGCCACCGGCATTGAAATTCAACTGGTCAATCATGACGGACTATGAACAAATCAGGTTGTCATCCCGCCAACTATTCTGTTTGACGCGCACTAACCATCTAGATGTCCCTATTGGCCGGGAATATAGTAAAACTCCAGCTGAAGACACCATATGATGGACAAACAATAGACGCCAGAACCATGAAGGTCTTTGAACCGTCTACCTGGTCCTCTGCGATGGTTGTTCGACCAGTCTGCCCTACTACCGCATGGGAAGGTGATATGGTACTGGAACTCTTCGACCAACGTTCGCCAACAGGACTAGATGACATGAGGAAATAAGTCCTTCGACCTGGGATATCGAACGGAATTATCCTCAGTTCATTCTCGATGGTGATGCAGCGAAGTTCGTTGCTGAGCTTTCCGAGCTGGCCGCCCACGGAGATTTGCCATATGTCGATTCTGGCACATGGAATTCTTCTCAAGAAACATTTTTGCATTGCAACATGCAACGTCTCTACAAGACAGAAACTCAAGCATACAACACCCTAGCCGATATGCAAGGGAACGACATACCCCGACTCTTTTCGTGTGTGACAGTGCCTAGCTCTACCCCGGCCCAGAATACTCTGCCCAGCGAATACATCGACATTCCTGGAATCCTTTTGCAGTATCTTGTTGGTGATAGAGGAATACTAAATAAGGATGTCAAAAAGAGGAGTTTTGTTGTGCAAAGTCGCCCGGAAAATCAATTCCACGTCTTCATCATGGATTTCGCGTTATGCAACTTCCGCGAAGAATATCAAGACGAAACCGAATGGGAGGAGTGGAAGGCAACGCAGGATGAAGAAGGGGCGGTTGGATATGTTATGCAAAAGAAACTGCAAGGTGGATCTGTGTACCATCGATGTGCTCGATACAATAAGCTGGATGAAAAATACATGATGGAAGGCTGAGCTCAGCATGATTTTTGTTCCGGTTCTCAAACCTTGCGTGAGTTAGCCAAGAAAAGATTGATGACTCTATTACTATCTTCAAAAACAGCCCCCGCTGCACTCAAGGCGATGAATCTTGCCCCGTCGGGCTGAAACGGCCATCCATGTTAGAACGAGAAGGAAGGTCAAATCCGAACAGAAGAACTGAAACAGGATTGGAATGAAAACCAAACCGTCGGATGAACGGGGTCCTATGTAATAAATGAACCAGCCAGGCCTTGTAAGGAGTAGAGCTTCAATTAAACTGTGAAGACGCCAAGTGAAAGCTGATAGCCGCTTTACCGTCGACCGTGGCGAGAAGGGTAAGTGCTAAATAGATTGAAACAAATTCTAGTTTGCAGAGGCACTTAATTAGAAGTGGTGCTGAGGGCGCATTGACTATTGACCGTGCAGAATACTCGGCTTAAGTACGGCTGGACGCGAAGCCCTGTTTTCCACACCCTATGGTCATATGTATCATGTTACGTGTTAGAAAGGATCATGCCGTAGAGCTATATACGCCTAGGGCTCGGAATGCTTGAAGATGTGCATGATACAATTGGTTCAAGTGTGTCTCCTTCGTTGGATCTGAGAACACTCGTTTTCAATACATACGGAAATCTGCCGGTACAACAATGTATGTCTGGTACCAGTGGTCACATGATTCAAATTTACCCTGTCTCATCCATATGTATTCGACCTTGATATTCAATATTCTTCACTACCTGGGGGATATCTCCGATTTTGTTGTTGAATTTGCCACAATGCCCTCTCATATCTACACAGAGGGGTTGCCTGAAGCACCGACCCCAGTTCCCGCATGGGGTGCTCTTCCACTCGGCCTCTATCTTCTTGTGTGTAACTCCTTCTCCTAATGATTCATGCGCTATCAAGTTGATTAACATTTGGCAGGAACAATGGGATACTCCTTATTTAGACTCGCCTAACGAACTACCCGACCAGCGGCGCAAACGCCTCATTGGCCAGTGGCTGAATCTTGGGACGATAGGCAGAGACGTTAGTTTTGATTATCACCTTTTCGCTGCTCTTTCCTATCTGCTCTATCGCTCCTTATTCTACTATAGATCCTCTAATCTCAAATACTAGCCCTACTACAGTCGCACTAGAGAGGAGTCGCAAACGTACGCTCCCGCCCGACCCACACAGCAACAAATTGATACTATTCTCCGCCCACTACGCCCAGACTCCCTCCGCCGTTATGCGGCCGGCTACGAAGCATGGACAGGTGCCGAGGGTATGTGGATACGTACGAACTACGACGCGGAAAATGAAGAAGCCCACCAAATACTCTGGAACAAATACGTGGATATTTCTCAAGTTATCGGTCCCGACTCGCTAGTCCTCGAGGACGAAGGGTTATTTGCGAATACAGATATTGCTTGTATTCTTGAGCGATTCCCAGAGCGCGTGACGAATTATTCGGCGCTAGAGGATGTCGAGTGGCGTGAGAAGCGACTGGCAGACTTCTTACAAATGCGCGAAGAAGCGGAGGGGGAGACCGTAGGCACACGCGAAGAGGAATTGTCCTTGAGCTCTGATGATTTATGTGAGACATACTGGATGTATCACGCTGCCTGTGTGGTGACTCATGCGTTTATTGAGGACGTGGAGGCTCAGGGTGGCGGAGGGGTTTTACATGTGTTTTTAGATGACTGCGGGAATGTGGTTAGGCAGATGAGGGTGGGTTCGAATGAGGTTGATAACTTTGATGGGGCTTGGTCTGAAGGGAGTTGGAAGGATGGCTGGGTTTATCCTGGAGAGCTTGGGCCGGCCTATCTTCCTGGGGGTGTGAGAGGACCTCCATATAGATGAAATTTGCAGAAATGTGTCTCTCCATGACTTAAAAGCCAAAGGAGGAACATACGGTTGCATTGACCTTGAAGATTCTGAGATTCTGCTGCCATTGAGGCACGCAGTGGAGGCACCCTCTGCGCATATTTTGCAAAGAATTCTCCACTTTCCTCAACTCCAAAGGAACCTCGCCGCAGCTTATGAGGTAATTCTTCGACTTGATGCCGAGGTCTGCTTTGCGCTTGTATCCTGGTCCGTGCAGTAACTTTTGCTGCCCTCGGCAAGTCGGGGGTGGCGTTCGTGTGCCAGTCATTTGAACCCACTACGGAGTCCGGTCTGTCATGGCGGAGTTGCTTGGAGGAGAGGGTGGCTTGTATGGCTTGATTTCACCATCGTCATTTCCAGTACTCTTGCGTTATTATAGATAACCACGACCTAAATCATTCGGGTGTTCTATTGCATCTTTTTAATACACATGCAGAAGGCATCCTTGAGATCGGAATATTCATGTCGCTACTCCAATGCTCTCATTTCTTAGTTCGACTTTCGTCTTCTGAATGCCACTAGGCACGGTGGAATTGATGGAGATATCTGCGGCAAAGACACTGTCGCTGAAAGAAGCATCTCAGAGAGTTTAGTGCCGATTCAACTGATACAAGGATATCCCATGTGCAAACAATGGAGACCTGCTTAGATTACACTAGTGAACTAATATCTCAAAAGGGCCTGCCGTGTCGATATTTTGCATAAAACTGGCATATTCGAGGCCACCTGCTCGGGAGATATTCAAGTCTCTAAATCGTACGCTCTTAGAATAAGCTCATGTCCTGGTACTGACACGATCCTTTTCCCTCTAAGGGTTTCCTCTGACCTTTTTGGAAGCACGTAGGGAGTTGTGCTCGAACTACGCCTCTACATATTCGTGCAAGAGGAGACATACCCACATATGCATCATGTCGAGACCTCAAATGAACGTACAGCAATATCGGCTGTGAGTGTCCGCTGCTCGGTTAATTTTGATCCAACAGTTACAGCTTCGCGGACTCCATTTTGGAAGGCAGGCTTTGCCCGTCATGTCATTTTTGATGAAACGAACATCAGTGGCGCCTCTTCTGGCTCCAGGTGGTGCAACTCAATCTGGCCCAGCAGTTGGACTCTCCGCATACCTGCTCCTCTTCCTTAACCGAGTACCGTAGATTTTGAAAAGCAATGGCATGGGGGCCAATAATAATGATATGCTACCTAGGATGGTCATCGTCCAATGAACCCCGATCCTTTCGTACATGGGACGGGCTGCCAGGACCATGCCACCAGCTATTAGATAGCGTACCATTGTTATGCTCGCTAACGCGCTGGCTGCGTGCTTCCCGTAGCTATCAATAATATACTCGTAGCTGCTGATGTAGATGGATATCAGCACGGCACCAAAAAGTCCGCACGCAAGAAGGCTTGACCAGACCGAGACGGTCGGAGAATTCGTCCATCCTAACCAGAATAGGGATATCGGTAGGAAAGGACTGGCAATAATTGCTGGCCAAAGTCGGAATTCGGGAGGTAGCGCTGCGCCATGTTCGTAATGAGTCTTTCGGCGGGCCCATTTATAAAGACCAGGCGCAGCAAACGTGGCCACTGTGGCGCCTGCAGCGATAGCCCCAAAACATGACCCTGTTTGTGCTATAGACATATTGTACGTCCGTTTGAAGATGTAATCAAATCCAGACAGGAAGGTAAATAGAATGCAGTATAATAGGACCAAGTACGCCCCAAGCACAGAAATCACTGGCTCAGTGCTAAAGAATATTATAGGGAGCGGAACGATGTCTTTCAGTCGTTGATAAAGGGAGCTCGTGGGACCACATGCGTATCGTTCATCGCCAGTTTCACGTCGTACCTGCCTGGATTTCCAATCCAGTAAGATCGGCAGGTATGTTTCGGGGAGAAAGAGAAGTGCCACCACCCATGTAAAGGCCGATATGATGAGAGTTATATATTCAGTCCAGCGCCAGTCTAGGTCTGGATTGGAAACGACCCATCCACCTACAATCGGGCTGATCGTGGGGCCTAAATTTCCAGGAGTATCAGCATTGAACTACCTTGCTAATGCTAGGGACGTACCTGCAATATTAGCCCAGGCGATCATTGGAAAGACGAAAGCGCGTTTCACCGGACGAAACTGATCACCAACACTGGATCCATTTATCGATAGGGTCGCACTAGAGGAAAGACCCACGAAGTATCGACATATCACTTGGCCGGCGAATGTGCGTGTACGTGCAGATCCAAGGACGAAAAGGAGAAACATGAGGGTTGATACCAGGTACGTCGGATTTCTTCCAATGGATTCTGAGAATGGTCCAGCAAAAAGAGAGCCTGAGCTAATCCCAAATAAATACATTGCAGTTGAGAGGTTTTCGGCGGTTTGAGACACGCCAAACTCGCGGCTTGCGCGTTCGTTGGCCTGAGAGTCGGCAGAGCCTGCCCATGCTTGCGCGAAGATCAAAAGCGATAGGATCACAATGTTTTTGAACCTTGATAGTAGTGTCCAATTTTTCGGGTCTAGTTGGTCGGTCTCGTCTCTTATCCTCACCCATATGCAGCCGTTTCCGTCTGCAGCTAAAACATGTTAGCCCTCGTTCGCTCCATTTCGAAGTTTTCCTCACCTGGTGACCCAAGCTCGAGACCATTTGTCCTGTTTGATAATGCAGCGGTTTGCTCTTGTCCGACTTCAAGGGTAGCAAGCCTCTTTATCCGGCGATTTTGGATCAAGGCCCACATCCGGGATGCCGATGGATGTATAAGGCTCTCCAAGGTCCTGTCAGAAGTGGCAGGACGTGGGCTCTTGAGTTTGCGGGGCGAACATCCGCAAAAGGGCCTATGTGTGCGATCTAGATTTCGGAGGACCGAGACGAGCGTAGTTCTGCTTCATTCCGAGGATGATTCGGTCTAATAAAAGAGGGCTCCCGGGGGTGATGGCAGGGAATCGTAAGCGGCGTACAAGGCGGTCAGGCCGGAAGAACCGTCACGGTATCTGTGCCTTTCCGTCATTATTTTGACAGCATTTGGAGGCCTCACCTGCCACCTGGCAGAGAAAATCAAGTACGTAGAGCTACAGAGGCATGTGTCTTATCATAAAAGTTACGGTTACGGGGAGGAAGGACATTCTAGACCATTATTCTCATAGTCTACATACATTTCCCATGTCAAAATAACCCGCTGAAACTAATTTTTGCATAAACGATTAAGAAAATTGGGTACTTGACACATTTGCTCCTCCTATCCATCCATCTCGCCACAAGAAAAAGAAAAAAGAAAAAAGAAAAGCCGTCGCCAGATCAAAGGGGAATATGAACCGAGTCAACATATTGACAAAGTAAGGAAAGGGAAAAGGAAAGGGGTGGAAGTATTGAGTACCCATCACACAGCTCTCACTGGAAACTCAGGTTGGCCAAGATATCTTTCGTCTGTTGGCTGATGGGCCCGATCTCCTGCATCTCCTGCATGTCTTCCAGGACTGCATTGTATGTTTTACCGAGACCATCGGCGACGCGAGTACGGTTCCATTCTCCACGCATGTGCCACACATAGTCCATCAAATTAGTGTTGATTTGCTCCAGCTGCTCCACTGAGAATCCGCTGGTTGACAGGGTTAGCTGAGTGTGCAGACGCTCAACAACCTCAAGATCAAGGACGAATGGCTCATGCGGTTCTTCGTCCAGAATCAATTGCAAGTTAGGCGAAGCATTGGTTGCTGGCATGTTGGGTGCATCGAACAGCGGGGGCTGTGGCTTCGACTGCGACTGGCTTCCATTCAAACCACTGTTCTCCTGGGTATCGGCATTGCTAAGCAGTGAGTCCCGGGGATGGGGAGAAGGCTGGCTGCTATCGTTTTGCTGGGTGTCGGGCAGGTGGTCCTCCTGCGACACGCGATCGGGGTATGGAGTAAGGTCGGGATATTCGGTTCTTGAGACATGAAGGCTTTGAGTATGGTAGTTTTGATTCGACAAATGTTCAGAGGATTTCTTATCAGAAGTCGTCTGAGTAGTGGATGCTTCATTGGTGTAATCGGCTGGCTGAGATCCTGGGGCCATTGGAGTCATGGGGCCTCGCTGAGAAAAGCTGGAAAGACCAGATTCTCGACGAATCTGCTGAGAAGGTGCAGTGTGGGAATAAGGAGGCTTGGGCTGTGCAGATGGTCCGAATGAGCTTCCCTGGGTGTCCTTGCTACCCGAGTGATCATCGGAATTGGACATGAAAATGTCACCGTCTCCATCTCCGTGGGTACCATTGCTCGCGCCGACAGCATGGGAACCAAACTCGTTGAGATCCGAGCCACCGCCGTGATGATCTCCATTGGCGAAACTCTTGAACTGGGGTGCGGGGGTCACGGGGCGCGAAGCTGCTTTTCTATCATCCCCATTGTCGGGGAACGCCTCGCCGAGTTGAACTGGGCCAGTCGATAGGCCTAATTCAGTGTTGTCGTGCGACACAGTGGTAGGCTCGGGAATGGGAGCTGTGTTCTCCACCTGGGCACGTTTCTCTCGCTCCGCGGCCTCCTTTTCGCGAGCCATCTCTCGCAGATAGACCTGCTCACATTCTGCCATAAGAGCTGGTTCGGCTACCATAACACCGGCGATATCGACTTCGACATTAGTCAAAAGTTCACTTGACCGCAAGATGCGTTCCGGGTCACCAGTCTGACGAGCGTCTTTGACCATTCGCTTGATATCCGCTACGAAGTCGACGGCACGTTTGTAGTATCCGTTTGCAAGGCGTTTTTCAATCGTCACAATCTCCAGGTTGTAGTAGAACTTTCCAGTGGCAGTTTCACGGAGACCCAACACACCATGCTTGTCGTATGCTTTCTCGTAAGGCCGGAAGGCATTTTGTTGATCCGGGGGAAGATCACTGGTAACAATGTTGGGATTTTCTTCCTCCCACAAGTACCGGATTTGAGCTTCATCGATCACGCCCGTTCTGAAGCGCTTATACCTCTTAACCTGATCCATGATAGGCTGAATTCGGGTTTTCAAAAGGTTCAAGGATATGTAATCCTTCTTCCTCTGAGCCTTGATCTCCTCCTTTGTGAGTTCTGCCTCCGGCTTGGGAGGTGGAGGTGGCGCGACTTCCAATGGTTCTAGCTGACGAAGTTTGCGCTTTTCTGGGTCCGGGAATCCTTTCGGGGGAGTCTTGACGAATTCAATGACTTTTCCAAAGAATTCACGACGCGCACCATGATTCGGAGCAGATAGATCATACAGGTTCTTCTTGGAAAACCCGAACATGTTCTTCAGTAGACTTTCGTCCAATTCCTCTTCTTGCGATTCAAGAACACCAAGCAAAAGAACTGGGTCAGAAGGCGGCACCGACCGCAAAAGACCCATAAAGGTAGAAATCACAGTAGGTCCCACAGTCTGGAACCACAGTTGAATGTTTGGAATGTAAATGACACTCGGCTTGTGTCGCTTGACCTCCGTGAATAGCTGGATGACAGCTGCCTCTGGGGAGCGGGTTGAGTCACTCAGCAAAGTGGGGAGATCGAATGCCTGCACATGCAGGCCCTCAAACACATGCAGTAGTGCGGCCGCAAGGTATTGCTGGCCCATACCGTGGGGCCCCCGAAGGAGCAGTCGGGGTCGGAAGACACGCGAGCGATCAAACTCCTGCAAAAGGAGCTCTCGGCTGAAGCCAGCACCATCATCAGGCTCTTCATATTGAGCCTCCTCGAGAGCAGTAAGTTTCTTCCGCTGCGGAAGAATCTCGGACAGCAAAGATTTGATTTCGGATAATGGATGACGAAGCAAGGGTTCAATGTTCGGAGGGAGGGCAGTCGCACCAGATGAGGTAGACCGCTCTGAAGAGGGCACCATCTTCTTGATTGCCAGCATGAAATCTTTCGGGGCGACATCGATTGTCTTCGGATCAATCACGAGCTTTTGGTCTGATTTGTAGATTTGGGGGTATCTTCTCTGTACAGCATTGATTGCAGCCTCGGTGCAAAGCGCTCGTAAGTCAGCACCGCCATAACCCTTGGTCATATCTGCCAGTTCGTCTTTGATGTTGCTTGGGAGAGGAGGATCCCATTCCTTGGTGTGAATGTCGAGAATAGCACGACGTGCCTCGATATTAGGCAGCGAGAAATAAAATTCACGGTCAAAACGACCAGGGCGGCGAAGAGCAGGATCAACAGAGTCAGGCCGATTGGTAGCACCAATGACAACCACTTGACCACGACCATCCATGCCGTCCATCAACGCAAGTAGTGTCGAGACGATCGAGGCATGGATTTGTTCCTGTTTGCTCGATCTCACGGGAGCCAAACCTGATATGGAATATTAGCAAGTGTCAACCATGTGCTTAGAAGGGTCTCTCTTACCATCAATCTCATCGAAGAAGATAATACTTGGCTGGTTCTTGCGAGCTTCTTCGAAAAGAAGCCGAAGTTGTCGCTCAGCCTCGCCGACCCATTTGCTCAATGCATCTGCGCCCTTTCTCATGTAGAATGTGACCTTGCGACCTTCTGAGCTGACGCTGTTGGCTAAAGCCCGAGCCATGAGCGTCTTTCCGGTACCAGGAGGACCATGGAATAAAACACCGCGAGGAGGAGTAATCTTGAAACGCTGGAAGATTTCCGGGTACAGCAGCGGCAAAGAAACCATCTCTTTCAGCTGGTCAATGTGCCCTTGCAAGCCGCCAACATGGTCAAAGTTGACATTCATGTCAACTCCCAGGGGATCCGCGTCAGCCAAAGCCTGCTTGTTGTTGAACTTGCCAAGGTTTGCAGGCGTGCCGGCCGATGTCTGAGCAGGGTCAGCCGACTGGTTATGGGTGACCGCAACTCCAACACCAGGAGCACGGGTTGGCTGCTGGGCACATTCGTCATCACTGCTATCGCTGTCCGCTCCTCCGACTGCAGTAGGGCCACCAGGAACACCGAGAATTGCTGAATTACCACCGCCACCGAATGGGCCTAACGTGGAGAACAAAGTGCGCTGCCAGCCCCCACCCCCACGACCACGCCGGGATGGAGACCCTGTCACTTCATTGTCGGTATCTTCATTAGGTTGAAGCATTTCAGGTCGAATAATGCGATAATCAACGTTCTTTCGGTTGCGACGCGGTTTCTCGTACACGACCGCTTGCTTCGCACGGCGACGGGTACGGCCAGTAAGGTCTTCCAATTCTTCGGCAAGTTCTTCTGCCTCCTCTGAGGGTGCGCGGGTCCGCGAAGGCCGTTGGCGCAGGCCAGGGCGCCGACTGGCAGAGCTATCCTCGGCTTCCTCGCGAGCTTGACTTTCTTTACGGGGAGAGGCACGCGATTCAGGCTCCGAGTCTTCCTCCTCATCATTTGATGGCTCCTCCTCTGGTTCGAAATCACTTTCTTCATCTTTGGCTCTGCGTTGTGAGCTTCGAGACGGCTGCTTACGGCTGGATCGACGTAGCTGCGATTCTTCATTTGTCTCAGTGTCTTGTGCGGCATTCTCGACAGGTTGCTCGTGGGAGAGCCTGCCTCGTCGCCGAGTTGTTGGGAGTTCATCGGTGTGTTCGGAATGATCATTCTTCGCATCGCCATTTTCTGATTCAGGGACAACGTCTTCATCCGGCATTTCTTCATCAACTGGGTCGTGGTCTCCATCGTTCACTGGCAATGTATCACCTTCAGCGCCGCCCTGAGGCACGTCACTTTCCAGTACCTCCATTTGCGAGCCCTGAATAGTCGTTTCGTTTATGACATCCTCGACATCCTCATGTCCTTCGGCGTCTTCATCCTCTTCATC